GTATATATTTCTTTCAATCATGACTTATTTTTGATACATATATATTAGGAATCATTTTTTTTTTAAAAAAAATATTTTACTTTCAAATTTTTGGAAAGTTATAAATTTGTATTTTCATTTTCATTATTTAATTTTTTAATTTTAAAAATGCCATAAAATTGAAGAGTAAAACAATAATAGAGATAAAAACATTAAACTATTAAAAATGATTTTAATGAAAATTTAAAATTATAACTTAATATTTCTTACAAAAATGAATGTCAGAAATATTTACTTCGATTCCTAATCAATAAAAATCACTTTTTCTTTAATTTGCAGTAAGTCATACTTTTGTTGCAAATCTCTAATAAAATTATTTATATCATGTTTATTTTTGCCATATAAAAAGCTTTCTTCTATCAATAATACATGCATTCATTCCTGAACAAAGACAATCCCTTTATTCCACACTTTCATTACAGATTGCATTTTTTAATCATTTCAACCCAAGCAAGGCAATAAAGTCCCTAAGAAGTAAAGGGGTACTAAGTGTTAGAAAATATGAGAAAAAAAAAAAATACTATTAAGGAGAGAGAAAGATAAACAAACAAGAATTAAGAAAGACAATAGATAATGATTGACATTTCATTTATATTTTTGAAGATCAAAATTGACAGGAAAGCAAGATGTCAAAAGGAAGTTCCACAAGTACAGTAGGAGAAAATGTTAATGTAGAACTTATGGTTACATCGAGCAATTTCAATTGTATAATGATTTAATATTAAATTATTTTCAGTGAAATGTTATTATTGTGCAAAGGTTAATCAATAAAAAGTGCAAAATTCTCAATTACCAGTATTTTTTTCATTGATGTAAGAGATATTTTGTCAGTGTTAATAATACCTAAGTGCAAAATTGACAGAGTAGTGGTAATGTCAGTGGGCAACTTGAAGTCTATTTTTTTGATATACCATGTTTGAAATCCATTGCTTATTGTTTCATTTGGCTTACCTCTTGCCAGAATCTAATGTGCCACTCAATATGTAATTATAGACTTTTCATTTTAGTTTCTTTTTCTTTGGGATTTACATATAATACACATATGTGTGTGTGTGTGTGTGTGTGTGTGTGTGTGTGTGTGTGTGTGTGTGTGTGTGTGTGTATATATAAATATATATACATACATATATATATATATATATATAATATAAAAGGCTAAAGCAGTAATATTCCATGGTTATAATTTATTACATTGGAATCGTAAATAAAATCATAGTTAGCTTTCTTTTTGAATTTGTACGTCTGATGAATTGGATCGTGATTACGATTCCAATGTAATAAATTATAACCATGGAATATTACTGTTTGAGCCTTGTATATTATTATTATTTTCTTGTTCTGTCCTGGAAATTGAGCTTTACCTGATTCTATCCTCTTGAAATTCATATATATATATATATATATATATATATATATATATATATATATATATATATATATATATATATATATATATTGACCATTAATATTATCAATACATATATATATATATATATATATATATAAATTATTTATATATATATATTGAAAAATTGTATGTAAAAAAAGTGGAAAAGGTTTTCTTGTGATGCATTTTGTGTAGATGATAAACACAAAGAAATGAAATGAAAATTGTTGAGATTAAAAGAAATTTAAAAAAAATAGAAATAAAAAATTCCTTCATTCGTGCATGTGTAAATTGCACCAACATAACAAATTTAGTCCAATAAAATCCTTAAGTACGAAATGCCTCACAAGAAAATGTTTTGCACTTTGTTATACATTTTTTACCCAATATTGTTCCTGATAAATAAAAATACATACTGTTATCTCATATATATATATATATATATATATATATATATATATATATATATATATATATATATATATATATATATATATATATATATATGTTTTCATTAAAAATGACAGACAATGTACTAGGATTAAGCTTTTATTTAATTTTTCTTGTGTTTGAACAAGTGCTTTCTTTTCTGGAAACAGTGTGTAAAAACTATCCAAATGTTCTATAATTCTGAGCACTTTTGGCTATACTTTTAGTCATTATCAAGGATGATTTTATTTTTTCAATTTAACTGAGTGTGTGGCTTGTGTGCATGTTTGTTTTTAGTGTTATAGAGATGTTTTCTTTTGCGAACACAGCACATAGTGGCCATGTTCATAGTTAATATTGTTAAGTGTTGGCCTTTTCTTTTTTATTATTAGGGCTTCCATTATTAAAATTAAGTAAAAAGCTTAATCATAGTACCTTGTCTGTCATTTTTAATGAAACATGCATAAATGAATGATTGCTACCTAATACACAATATATATATATATATATATATATATATATATATATATATATATATATATATTATGGCATTTCAGTACCACTTCTCGTATGTTATGAATCGAAAGTAAAAGTATTTTGTTTTAAGGGTAATTTTTGTTTTAATACATTTTTGATTTCTGTTTTGAGTGCAAATATTTTATTTTAAAGAGAAAACTTTTTTTATATTTTATTTCCTCCGAATATATTCCCACTTTCTTTATCAATAATATTTTCCTTTTTTTTTTCCCTATTTCATTGCAACCCAACCACCATGATTATAATAAATTTCCTTTGTCTGTTAGAAGCCATGGTTATGGAGAACTTTCCCTTTAAAAAGAAAAGCTATTGCTAAGTTGAGTAGGGTGATAAATTTTTAGACGTGTTTTAATGACAGAATATACATCAATAAGTCTGTACCTCAATGATGACAAATACATTGACTTAACACAATAAATATTTATGTCAATGCACTTAATCCAGTTGTGAACATTAAGACTAGGATGAGCAGCTCCTTAGACATCTTTATTTACATTATGTCGTGAAGCAGCCATCTCTAATATATTCAATATTCAAGTCAGGAATAACAAGTCTGAAAAGAAATTCACAAATATTACTATACCTCATACTGAAAGAAAGTGATTATATATATATATATATATATATATATATATATATATATATATATATATATATATAAATTATGTGTGTATAGATAGATAAATAGATAGATAGGGAACATAAACACGAGTATTATTGCTTGTGGTAAATTTTTCAATGCATTTACCCTATAAATAGCCTAGGTGTCAAAAACGACACCTCGGCCATTCAATGTAAAACCTCAAATATCAGCTATTCCACTGAATATTTTTTAAAGAATTAAGTTAAGCATCTTTGCTAAAATTCAATAATTGTCCATATGCCTCAGCATTGAACCAAAACTAGTTATTCCATAGGAATTTGTTGAAAATTTGAAGGTGTCAAAAATGACACCTCGGCCATCCTAGTGTTAATCATATAGAAGGAACATTAGACATTGGAAATTTCAGATTTTCAAGCTGAGGCTACAGACTTACTGTTTGAAACATGGTTTATGCAAATTAAAAATTGTTGTTAATGATGTAATTAAGAAAAAAAAAGGCAAATCTAAATCTCACTTGTCTAAATTTATGAAATGAGTTATTGTAACTATTTACACTATTTGTTATATGACTTTAACACCTCCCTCAAAAACTAAACTATTCTCTATTAATCACCATAGAGATCCTTCCCTGCCCCCCATTAGAATGTCTGATAGTCAATTTCTTGAGAGCAACTCTCTGCGTCTGCTCGATCTCATGTTGACTGCTGACCTGAGATGGAACAAATACATTGAGTCAATTGCTACGTCCACTGCTATGAAAGTTGGCTCTCTGTGCCGCGTCAGGAATTTTTTCTCCCCAGAATCGATACTTCAAATATACAAATCAACCATTCGCCCTTGCATGGAGTATTACTGCCATATATGGTCTGGGGCACCTTCTGTTTACCTCGGAGTTCTTGACAAGATCCAGAGACGGATATGTAATATAATTGGCCCTGATCTGGCATCTCGTCTACTCTCTCACAGACGCGCCATCACCTTTCTCTGTCTTTTCTACAAATACTTTTATGGTAATTGCTCCGATGAGCTGCTTTCACTGGTCCCCAGACTCCATGAATTCAAGCACCTTACGAGGCTGGCATCCCGCTCCCACACTTACACTGTAGAAATTTTTAAATGTAGCCGTCTCTTCTACTCCAATAGCTTCATACCTCGCACCTCTCGCCTGTGGAACACCCTTCCCAATTACTGTTTCCCTGAGAGCTATAATCTCCAACTATTCAAATGTAATGTCAATTGACATCTCCAGTTACCTTGATCTATCCACTATCCTTCTCCTCATCCTTTCTTCTATCACTCCTATCTGCTCTTGCTCCAAATCTTCTGCAACCCCCTGCATCCTAGTGGCTTCATACCTTGCTCGGGACGTAATGCTTAAAAAAAACAAAAAAAAAAAACAAACAAAAATAACGCATTTAAATTTGTGCTATTTAACAATTCTCAGTTGTAATGACTTTCCTAAAGTTTAACCAGCAGGAAAATGAAGATGGCAGATCTTTAAAGATTCCAAGATTCTAAACAGATTTAAATTTATTTACACTATTTATATTGTTCAAACTGTTGTCCTTATCTTTATTGTCATATTCACAATGTTTCAGCCATTGAACGCTCTGGATTTATTCAGGTACGATATGTTGGAATTTTAAACCGAACACCAGTGGACTAAATAAAAAGTTTAGTTTCAAATTCCAACGTATATCACCTGAAGAAGGCTGGAGCATACAATGACCGAAAAGTTGTGAATATGACAATAAAGACGAAGACAACAATACAAACATTAAAAATAGTGTAAATAAATTTAAATCTGATTAGAATCTTGGAATATTTGAACCAATTTCCTGGTTAATCTTTGGGAATGTTATTATAGCTGAGAATTGTTAAATAGCGTAAATTTTAATGCGTTATTTTTGTCTTCATCATATAACAAGTTTCAAAATCCACCAGGTTGTAGGGGTGCCAGATGTACTTCAGACATAGCAACTGTGGTAAATCTAATGAAAAATA